CAGGTTCAAGACCTGTCTGGTCCAAGGCTTGTGATTACAATTCTGAACAGGTTTATTAGAAAATACAAACAAAGTCAATTCAGTTCAATAATTAAATTCCACATCAAGTATTACGTGTATCTCTTGAATATAATATTTGCTTAAGTGTATACATAGCTTATTGGAGACTACAAACCCATTTATAAAAAGTTTCTTACTCCAACTATTTTACATGCTCTCATTGCCTAATGTACTATGTATTTTGTTATTCTTTAAACTTGCATCGATTATTGTTGCTTAGTGAATAAAACTAAACCCTTAATCAAGTGACTTCAGTGAAGTTGCACCAACTTATGCACTAACACCATCCAATTCAAGGAGTCCATAAATTGTATATTCATCACATAATAAAAATTCCCTGTGATTGGTATACGGTTCTCTTCCACAGATGTTATTTCCTTGTGTCATTTCCGAGACTTGGTCTTTATGCTTTGGGGGAAAAAGAAGTCAGCATCTAAATAACATTTTGACACAGTTTTTGGGGAGCTGCAATATCTAAAGGGTCATTTAACTAAAGTAGGGCATGAGAAGATTCTGGGATTTGGACACCCGTTCTCAACACCCCTAATTTTCATTTGTATGGGATAAGAGTGCAAGTAGTGAGCCTGCACTCCTAACTTAGCCAACTATTGCGGTGTTTGACATCTCCTAGAACTCCAGAAATTTTGTGGAGTTTGACCAGCTTTTCTATGACTCGGGGTACATTGTTCATCAGAAGAGTCAGGTTCCATTGTCTGGATTCATGAATTTTTTCATGGTAAGCTCAAAAGGTCTTATCCATGGCAACTCAATGCCAACAAATTAAAACCAGCAGAAAATCTCTTCTTGATGTCACATGAAGGGTACATCTTTTATTGCCAGAAAGGACTAATTAAAAAAAAATGAGAATCTCTAATACTAGTAACCTCACGGAAGCTTCAACTTTGATGTCAAACTTTCCTTTAATGTAAAATGCATCATCCTAAGCTAGTAGGTATATCAGGGACATTTTGTTTTCAAAGTTTTTCTCCAGACTGTTTATTTTTGTTTTCAGAGGCTTCTTTTTCATTCTAACTGACTCCATCGTTAGATGATGCAGTTATGTGGTAACAATGCTTTCTGTATTTATGTTGATGGGCCTTCATAACGAGAGAATTCCAGTCCAGGAGTAAGGATGCACATGCAAATACACAGGGCCTTGGGGAGCTAGGGTACTGTATGGAGTTTTGGTCTCTATATCTGAGGAAGGATGTTGCCACCGTGGAGGAAATGCAACAGAGGTTTATCAGACATGATTCCTGGGATGGTAGGACTGACCTATGAAGAGAAACTGGATCGGTTAGGATGATATTCACCAGATTTTTATTTTAAAATTTATTCACGGTATGTGGGTTCCACTGGCTAGGCCAGCATTTATTGGCCATCCCTAGTTGCCCAGCAGGAAAGTAAGAGTCAACCACATTGAAGTCAGATGTAGGCCAGATCAGATAAGGATGGCAGATTTCCTTCCCTAAAAGGAAATTAGTGAACCAGAAGGGTTTTTCTGACATCTGACAATGATTTCATGGTCATCATTAGACTCACAATTCCAGATTTGTTTCTCTTTCTGCCGTGATGGGATTCAAATCGGAGGGCCCCAGAACATTACTTGGGTCACGAGATTAGTTCTCTAGCAATAATAGAGCTAGGGTTAAGAAGAATGAGGAGGGGATCACACAGACTAGACTAAACAGGGCAAATGCAGGATGTTCCCAACGATCAGGGAATTCAGAACCTGGGGTCACAGTTTAAGGATATGGGATAGGTCATTTAGGACTGAGAGGAGGACAAATTTCTTTCACAGAGAGTTGAGAGCCTGTGGAATTGTCTGCCATAGGAAGTAGTTAAGGGCAAAACATTGAATGTTTTCAAGGAGTTAGGTGAAGTTCCTGTGGCTAAAGAGATCAAAGGGTACGGAAAGAAGCAGGTACAGGGTTCTTTATTAGACAAACAAACATGATCATAATGAATGGCAGAACAGACTTGAAGGGCTTCTGAAAATTTCTACACATCTATGTATGGCAGATTTAGGCTCAAACAGATGCAGAATTAGAAAAAGTCATCAATATCCTTAATAATGATCACCACTCCAACTAGATTTAAAGCTAGAACACAAGGGAAGGCATTAATTTCCCAGACACAGTACTTTTTACGCTGTCACTGCACCACAAGTGATTCACTGTTCAAGTTAAATTTTCCAATTGATAATGTTTATTACAATAGCATCCACTAAATTTCCCCTCTTTAACATACCTTTGCAGCCTCACAGAATAAACTTTGCATCTATTTGCAAATAACTCATTATCTCAGCTATTCTAATTCCCAGCTAGCTGTGTGACGATACTATGGCTTTAGGAGGTATATTTTGTGTTCTTATAAAAAGAAGAGAGGTTGAGACAGAGGTCTGCAGCGGTCTGTTCCAAACCAATAAAGTAAAACAGTTCGAGAGGCCTTGACGTTTTTTGTTTAAAAAGTTAGAACAATAGAAGCAGCATGAATGGGTGGAGTCAGGCTCCCACAGAACCAGGGTTTTACTTTAGCTTTCAGTAGTTGTTGGGGTTTTGAAGCTGCTATACATCTCTCCCTGCTCCAGCAGAATACTTGAGTTCTCTGTTTGCCAGAATTTTCTCTTGATGTTCTTTCCTCCTGGACTAGAGAAACACTGCATGTGAGACAATCTATTTCACTGAACTTGCCTTTGCCAAGAGTGATGCTGCTATACGAGACAAAGAACTCCTCAGCTAAAGATAAGGATGTTGCCTCTATCACTTCAACCTGTCACAGGACACATATTTATTCATCTAAATAACTAATATATCAGATCTAAACTGTTGCTTAACAATTGCCCGAATTATCCAAAAATTCCTCATGAATCGTTGACTGCCTATATTAAGTAGCTATGGTCTCTATCCAAAAATCTAACACATCAGACTTAGTTCTATGTTGGAGCAAGCAGCAATATGCAGATAGTGGTTGATTTGCTAAATACTTCTTGCAATCAGCAGTTTTGCTTTGGCAATGGACAGCATTCACACAACGTTCCTCGGGGTTCTTGTGGTTCTTCTGCCAAAAGCTCCAGTGAACAAATGGAACAGTCTATACATAAATTCTTTTAGGTGATGTTTACAATATGGATTGAATTCACTCCAATTAGAAACAAATGCTTCTTTAAAACTTAAATTAGTTCAAATATCAAGCAATTTGACAAACAAAAATGAAGATATGTCATGATGGTTCGATTCCAGGTAGCCAGATGGTGCAGGATGGAGCTGGATCCTGTTCTCTACACATATCAGATTTCATTTGAAATGGCATGTTACAGATACGCACTTTCAAAACCTAGCAACTGCAATTCCAGTGTGCAAAAGTGAATCCCCAGTTAATACCACCAAAATACAGTTAAAATGCTCAATATTCTAATCAACAACTTGCATGCAGGATCATTCATGCAAGCAGGAATATAATCGGAAATTGTGGCCTTTTGTGTCGCTACCTCTGAAGTGGGAGGTCTGGGTTAACGTCCAAGCTGCTCCACAGGTGAGTAATAACAACTTTAAACAGGTCAATTAGAAAATATCCTATAACCGGAAATGAGATGACCAAAAAAATTCCCCTCTTGAATCAAGATCTGAAAATATACAAGAACCACCAAATAAATAGAAAAGTTTTGCTCTTAAAAATTGTAGAAAATGCTGTGTCAAGTTCAGCAATGCTAACAGTAGTGTTCCCCATTCAATGGGATTCTCCAACAAGAATTCGATTGTTTCTCTAAGATGTTTACAGTACTGATAAGCTTCCAAAGTGTTCATTAAAATCCCCAGATAATTTGGCAGTTATTCTGTTGCTACTTATTGTCCGAAGGCAAAACTAAAGACAGCTAGAGGAGCAAGTAGTGAAACCAAAATAAAGCAGCAACGAAAACAAAGCAACAAATCAACGAAGAGGAAAAACAGGGAAGAAGCAAAATAGCCAAAAAGGTGGTAAGACATGATCTTGGATTTGAAAATTCTGTAAAATTCCATACAGACATTTCATTTTATTCATGTTTTCATGTAGTATTAACCAGAATAAAATACAGATTATTGTATATAGACTGATGAATATCATTGTTTTCCTTATCTCAAAAATGGACATTTTAAGGTTTGAATGGCTTTCCATTACAGAAATCAAAATGAAATTATTTCATCATTGATGATCATCTTCCATGTTAAAAATCTGGCTTTCAGTTACAACATACCTAGGTAATTAACTACAAGAGTTAGTATGCTGGTGTTTGCACCCAAATAGCATAGGTTTGATGTGGAAATACAGCAGTTACCACATTTTCCAGTATTATCAACAACTATGTAGGAGATACAACTGCCCAGAGAGAAAGCCGATCTCACTTTTAGTCAGTTAGCTCAGCTGGCTGGATGGCCTATTTGCCACGCAGCCTGATGCTGACAGTGTTGGTTCAATTCCTGCACCAGCTGAGGTGACCATGAAGCACTGCTCAAACTCTTAAGGGCGGCACGATGACTTAGTAGTTAGCACTGCTGCCCCACAGCACCAGGGACTCGGGTTCGATTCCACTCTCGGGCGACTGTCTGTGTGGAGTTTGCACATTCTCCCCGTGTCTGCGTGGGTTTCTTCTGGGTGCTCCAGTTTCCTCCCACAGTCCAAAGATGTGCAGGCTAGGTGGACTGGCCATGCTAAATTGCCCATAGTGTTCAGGGATGTGTAGATCAGGTGGGTTATAGGGGATGGGTCTGGGTGTGATGCTGAGAGAGTTGGTGTGGACTTGTTGGACTGAAGAAGGGCTGTTTCTACACTGTAGGGATTCTAAGTCATATATTGTGCAGCATGTCTTGGCTTCATGTGTTTATTAAGACATTCTGTTAAATGAACCATAAATCTTACCAATGTATAATTTCTCAATAACTACCATTGGGCAGTAAGCTTACCATCTTGCTTGCTCTGTTTTTTCATCAGCCATCTTTCCACTGTTTCAGTAGTGACATTTTCTGCTACATAGTCATCAAGTACATTTGAATGAAGGGATAAATACGACTTTACTTTATCATCAGTCAGACCTGCAAAAGGTAAAAGACAATAAAAAAAAAATAAGTGTACACAAGGTCATGTCCACAGGGTTTCCACTCTGACAACCAATTCTTGCCTGGTCATTAGGAACCCAAAGAAGGGGTGTGATCATTCCAGAGTAAATGATAAAAGAGGGTGGAACTCCTAAGAAGTCACACAAGAGTATAGATGTATATTTACCTCCTCTTGTTCAGTCTCTTTGTCTCTCTTTGCTGGAATCTAAACTGTTCTTAATCTTCAGGTCTGTTGCATTTTTTTGGCCAATTTGTATGCTTCTTCCTTGCATTTCATACTCCCCCTAACTTCCCATACTAACCATGGTCTGACCATATTTCCTATTTATTTTTATACCGATAAATAAGTTTTGCAGTTCATCCACGCGCTCTTTAAATGTTTACTATTACCTATTCACTATCAGCCCTTTAAATAACGATCCCTAATTTAGCATAGCTCGCTCATGCTTCATTTCATCATAATTTCCTTTATTTCAATTTAGGACCCTAGTCTCAGAAACAATGATATCACTCTCTATCTTAATAAAGAGTTCTAGCCCAATGTGATCACTCTTCCCTAAAGGCCCACCCTCATTTGGATCTCAATTATTCCTTTCTCTTTACACAACATCCAGTCAAGATGGCCTTTTCTCAAAATGATTCTGGAGTTTAATTTGATTTATTATTGTCACATGTACCAAAATACATTGAAAAGTATTGTTTTGCCTGCTAACCAGACAAATCATCCCTTCTAGGGTAATGGAATAGAATGCAGAATATAGTGTTACAAGCTACAGAAAAGGAGCAGAGCAAAATCAATTCTAATATCTGAGAGGTCTGTTTATAAAAGTCTGATAACAGGAGGGAAGAAGCAGTTTCTAAATCTGTTGGTGCACGTTTTCAAAATCTTGTATCTTCTGCCCAATGGAAGAGGGTAGAAGAGAGCGTAACCAGGGCGGGAGGGGGTCTTGGATTACGCTGGCTGCTTTCCCGAGGCAGCGGGAAGTATAGACGGAGTCAGTGGAAGGAAGGTTGGTTTTTGCGATGGATTGGGCTGCGTTCACAACTCTGAAATTTCTTGCGGTCTTGGGCAGAGTAATTGCCTTACCAAGCTGTGATACATCCAGATAGGATGCTTTTTATGGTGCATCTATAAAATTGGTAAGAGTCACGTGGACATGCTGAATTTCCTTAGCCTTCCGAGGAATTAGAGTCATTGCTGTGCTTTCTCGATCATAGCACTGACGTGATTGGACCAGGATAGATCGTTGGTGATGTTTAATCCTTGAAATTTGAAGCTCTCAATGATCTCCCCTCAGCATCACTGATAGAGACAGGGGTTGTATCCTCCACTCTGCTTCTGAAGTTGATGACCAGCTCCTTCCTTTTGCTGACAATGAGGGAGAGATCGTAGTGTGTACACCATGCCACCAAGCTGTCCCTTTCATATACTCGGTCTCGTCATTGTTGGAGATCTGACCCACTAGACTGGCGTCATTGGTAAATTTGTAAATGGAGTTAGAGCTGAATTTGGTCACACAGTCTTGAGTAAGGGGCTGAGTACATAGCCTTGCAGGGCACTGGTATTGAGGATTGTTGTGGAGATGTCACCCATCTTTGCTGTGTGTGGTCTGAAGGTCAGGAAGTTGAGGTTCCAGTTGCAGAGGGGCGAAGCAGAGTCCTAGGTCTCTGAGTTTGGAGATGCATTTTGTTGGAAACATGCTGTTGAAGGTAGAGCTAAAGTCAATAAATAGGAGTCTGACATATGGTGTCCTTGTTATCCAGATGTTCCAGGGAAGAGGGGGAAGTGCCAGTGTTGGACTGGGGTGGATAAGGTCAGAAGTCACATGACACCAGGTTATACTCCAACAGATTTATTTGAGATCATAAGCTATCAGAGTGCTGCTCCTTTGTCAGGCGAAGTTCATGCGCTGTTACAAATTTACTCTAATTCCTTCAACACATTTCTCCAATATTGTCGCAGGATTGATTTGCTTTTAAGATTCCTTTTATCAGCCTCAATAATTTATGATGACGTCGTATTCTAATCTCACCACTAATGGCCATTGTCAGCAACATATCACAAACATTTATTCCATAATATTTTTGAGCATATCTCACAAGCACAAATTTCATTTCATATATTAATGACGCTACTAAATGTCAAGTTTTTTTTTAAAAGAGGCTCCATCGTTTCCCTCTCCAATTCTAGGTGAAAACATTTGCTGTATACCAGGATATGGCATATTTATGCAACCCTCTCTGGTATTTTAGCCAAGTGGAATTTTTTTCCAATTGGCACATTAAATTGCAAGCTTCAGTTAGCTATTTAGATATGAGCAGCATCAAAGCAAAGTGCTATCATGTCCTCGCATAGCACATGTGCATCGTGGCTACTACCACAACTGAAAGAGAATTCTCACTACTCATACCCTTCTTAGCCCAAAAACACTGATTCAAATTGCATTCCTCCTGCTATCGTCATGCCTCATTAGTTTACTCAGTACGGACTGCGTTTGATCTTTGGACTTCCGTATAGCTCAGTTACTATTTCCTTAACTAGCTGAACAAAACAGGGGTCTCTTGAACACTTATTTAGATAAATTGTGGATAGATAGTTGCTATTAATTCATACATTTTGTCTGATTTTACTTAAAATATTCTTCAATTAACTTTACTCCACCATAGCCTGCAGCAAAATTCCCACTACCATAACCATTCCAGTAGACCTAACAGACCCATACATCCTTCCGAAAATACGATAGGTTATTTCAACTTGTGACATTGCAGCAACCAATATATTTCCTCTAAAGTAGCAAATTGTCATGCAATAGAATTTAAATTTCACCATACGCACAGCAGAGCAGCAGGTCATCGGTCTAAAAAGTTCTTCTGTTTTCAGGTCATGGCTTTCAGTTAGGTTGTTGGACAATCAGTTGATGAACTCCATCAACATACCTTCAAGTGGTAAAGATAACATCAAGTACTTCAAAGGCAAATCAAACATGGAGGAAAATGTAGAAATATTCCATAATTTCAAGAAAAACTTCACTCAGCATTCTTATGCATGCACCTTCCAGCAATCTTTCCCCAAGTGTTTTGGACTCCTGAGGGCAATAATTATGCCATCACCACTGAATCAGTTGTAATCATCTACCACAGCAAAAGGTCAAAGATTCAACCAAGAACCTTCCCAAACTCTGTGCCTCAATACCAATCTACCCTGTGCACAATTTCACCGAGCCAGAACAGCAGTGGAAAATGAAAATTAGCTTTAATTGCAAGATAAAGTAAAACCAGCGTAAATTTAAATAATTTGAAAGGTGCATGTTCTTCAGTTTAGGAGAATAATCTAAAGAAAACAAGCTTAATAAAGCTCAAACTACATGCACAGAAAGGTTGACTACTACCATGTGCTTTACACTATGTTACGAATGTTTTAAACATAATATACGCATAAGTTAAAAGTCAATAGTTCCATTAGAAATATATGTACGTGAGAACAAATCAAATGAATTTAAACACAAACATTAATCTGCGGATTACAATACATCTCTTCTGGGTGGCATCTTCAATTCGAGGTTCACCAAAGCACAGCTTTTTACACTATGATTTTACTACAAAGCAGTGCGAAGTGGCAGATCTCTAGTCTACTTCTGTCTAATTGGGATCAAACTCTGCGTACTGCTGGCATTAATCTAATCCCCACACTAGACAACTGGCATGAGTTAACCTCATTAGGCCCCATTAGAGTACATAATCTGAGTGAAAAACAAACTTGGCCAAGCCAGGAATCTATGCTTCAATAATAAATAGCCTTGAAGATACACATCAATAATTGCATATTACAATTTTGATGAAGCCAACAGCTCCATTAGTCCAAAGTTTATGAGAAATACGTAAATCAATCCATTAAGAGCTTGATGAAAACAACTATCATTTGAAAACCTGAATTCAACAAAGGGTTTAATTTTCAGAAGTATACATTTGGTCTAGTTGAACAAGAAAATAATGTCCATTTTAATAACAGATTATTTGTATTCAGTGTGGAGAATGAAGACAGAAGTTGATTTTTTTTCAACATCCTAAAATTAGATTAAATAATATGCTGGAGGGCAGCTATACATTCTTAGAACATTGGGACTAGGGATTGAGGTCTATACAAGCCAGACCAGTTGCACCTAAATAGGTTACCAAAATCTTTGTGAACTGGTGTGCTCCTACTGAGAGGGTTGGAACTAACTCGGCAGAGGGAATGAAATCAAAACTGAAGCACAAGAAAAATAATGGCATAGATGGGTCTTCAGAGAGACAGTCTGCACTAGAATAAAAAAATAGTAAGGCATTAGATGACATCACAGCAAGAGGACTGCTTTAAATAATAAAAAAAATTTGGTTTAAAATGCATGAAGGCACTCTGAACTGCCTGCCAAAGAGCCAGGAAAAAGCTAAGAGCAGCCCTCTGTCTCGGCAGTGCCACCAGGGAGCAGTTGCAACCACTGACAATTCAACAAAGGCCCAGGATCATTGAGACACCCCGTGCACTAACTGGTGAATCTTGATCCAGCAACCCTGATCCGCCCTAATGCTGGGTTCCTCAATCAGGTACTGAACAGCACAGCTACCATACCACAAAACGCCACTTTCCCATTGCTGGGCAAGAAGCACACAAGGAAACTCAACAGCTTTTGCTTTACAGGCTCCCTCATTGGCAATTGCCATGCCTGCTGCTGGTTGAATATCAAACAAGCATTAATTATCCTCATTTGACATCTGGCTGCAAGAGTCTTCAGCAAGATGTGGGAAAGTGATGGGATTCTGACCTGGCACCATCCCACCCGAATAAATGTCCTTCCTGCCATGTAGCTTAATTCAGGGGACAGACTGTGGTAGATAAGGTTAATAGATCTACATACAAATGTGTTGATAATGGAGAGCTGGCTCAAAAATGGATGAGACTAATTATTAAGAACTTATGGAAACAAGGTTAGTCAGGA